AACCGTAAGTAATCATTGTGGCTTTATTTTTAATGACATTTAGAGATAACAAGATAAACAGATAATATTATGATTTAGTATACTGGATACATATGCATACACATCCCAGATATCATGAAAAGTTCTAAAAGAATTCAAACAGAATTCGGTCATTAATTCAGAGTTCGTATCTTTTTAGATACGAAGAGAATTCTTTTATGAAAAATTCAGAAAAAAAAATCTAAGAAATGAACTCAGAATTGATGACATAAGATTGAATTTTGTTAAACTTTCTGTGTTATCTGCGATATTACACATACAATGTCATGAAATTTTTTTACATTTTTTTAAATTATAACAAAAATTAAAGTAAAAACAGAAAAATTATTTAAATAAGTTTTTTACAATTGCAAATATTAAAATGTTAAGTCACCATAATTTGCAAGTAAACATTTTCTTATCGCGCACTTCTACGCATATCTTCTACATATTTACTAGACATCAACAAAACTTAAAAAAAATATCATTATGACTTCATTTGCTTTATAATGTTTGCTTAACACACTTTTGAAATTTCCATTCCTTTATGCTACGTTTTACAATATTTGAAAGAGATATTCAAATTTCGGTTGTATTGTGAAACGTAGCACAAAGGAAAAATACAAATGGTATATTTATATATTATAAACATGTGCTATATATACATATATACATGGTGTCTCGTAAGATGGGTCAGGGTCACATTGGGGGCGGAGAATGAATCAAAGGGAACAAAAAAATTCTTATACCATTTTGAGATACTTGCTATAGTTTTCGAATTAGAAAAGGAAACGTCTAAGCCAATATACGGTTAAGCTGCGCTGATTCGTAGGACAACGTTACAGTAGGACGGCCCACATTCGAGCGGCAGCGGCGGCGGTGCGCAGAGAGGGGAAAGAAGCGCTCGTTGGCTGGCACAGCCTGGCATGATGGTCCTATGTGTTTCGCTTCTTTCCCCTCCTTGCGCACCGCCGGCGCTGCCGCTCGAGTGTGGGCCGTCCTACGAATTCGCGCGGCGCGGCTTAATCGTACATTGGCTTAGACGGTTCCTTTTCTAATTCGAAAACTATAGCAAGTATCGAAAAATGATATAAGACTTTTTTGTTCCCTCTGATCCATTTTCCGCCTCCAATGTGGCCCCGACCCATCTTACGAGACACCCTGTATGTGTGTGTGTGTATATATATTGTATATGTATATTATACTAATTTATTTATATAATCATTGAAATTCTTATTATCACATCCTTTACATGTATTAACGAAAGCTGTGCACAAATAAAAATTAATTATAATATAATTATATTACAATGGCAAATGCACATCCGATAATTCATGAATTAGTATATATTATCTAAATCATTGCGCGAATTATTGCTTTTCCATCAATGGTTCAGTAAATTATATATAGCAAAATACAGCATCTATAAATTATTTATTAATTAATATCCAAAGGAGGACAAAGAAATATCCGCGATATTATGAAATATTATATATAAACTAAGACATACGTATCCGTACTATTTATAAAACAGAAAAAAATGAAAAGTTCAATTCTGTACACACAAAATATACATATATCACATATTACATATATGT